ATAACTGTATGTAAACCAATTTAAATAATAATAATTCTTTATTACATAAATACCAAAAAAGGTACATTAGAACATAAAATTTAACTTTAACAAACACTAAGGTATACTAGCTGACTAAGTTATTGTACAGATTTAGAACATTAAAACAATACTTAGCATTTATTTTTACAATAGAGTCATCTTTCATTGAAAATATGTATACGAATAAGCAATCAAAACCTGTGAAGGTTTTGAAACAGTTATATATGTTATAAAGGCTTTCCAAGAAAGGTTTTCTTATAATAACCATTTCGTTGTTATTGCATAAATGCGTCCGTTTCTAAAGGTGAAGGGTGAAAAAGCACCAGCACCAACAAGAGGACTCAAGGCTTCTGATGGTGGAGATGATGAGGCTGGTGGCGATGATGAAGATGGTGGGGAAGGAGACGGAGAGCCTGCAGCAGTCAACATTGCTGATCTTGTWCCAAGAACTGATATAAGGTACAGTGGGCAGTCATTCACTGGTTKTCCTTTTTTAAAGGGCAATAGTCTTCTTCACGGTTCCCTGCGCCATCTTGAAAGGTAGCCGTGCCTTTGCATCGAAGCGAGACGACCGTTGAGCGTGCAATGTTTCACACCTACAGACAATTATCCACAGGTACTGTATCTATCATTGCACGCTCAACGGTTGTCTTGCTTCCATGTAAAGGCACGGCTTCCTTTCAAGATGGCGCAGGTAACCGTGAAGGAGACTATTGTCAACCGTCATTCAATGCAGTCTATTTTTAGATTTTTCACAGAGTGAAAATGAGGTGACTTCCATATTCAATACGTTTCCATATGTCTGTTTCAAAATCTCCATTCTTAGCATAACTTAGAGATAATAAAGATAATGTTTCAATCATATAAACGAAAGCTTGTACAAGGGTTGCCGAAAGGAGATTGTACAACTGAAAGGGACTGTGGTAGACTACGGTCAAAATACGCTTTTGTCGGAATATCTTTATGGCGTTTTAAGTTATGGAAATTTCGAAATAATTTTCAAAAACTACATTTATTAAGCTGTTAAAAATATATACTTTTATTGAGGTATTTTACAAAGCCGGCACGTAATTTGAGGTTGCGTGAGTAGTAGTCGTGAACTCCTCTTGATACCTTAAAAGATAAATCTGATTTATTGTTTCTGAAATTGCCTCTTTACAGTGGCGAAATCACATCAGAACTCATTGAAATGCTTGGAGATAAGAACTGGAAGGTCAGAGCTGAAGGGTTGCAGAAGGTAAATTCTAAAACGAAAAGTACTTGTGTCAGAAAACTGTTGCTCATCGTACCCTTATATGTAGGTTGAGAGCATCATTTCTGGCGCTAAGTTCATTACAGGGGAACTTGGCGAGCTTCCTGGAGCTTTGAAAGCAAGACTTGGRGACTCAAATAAAAATCTTGTAAGTAGTCAACCTCGTTCCCAGGGCCTTACCCCTTCGCTTTGGTAAGTAGTGTAAAATACAATGACCYCGATATCTCCAGATTTTCATAAATATACCTAAATATTTAGTGGGTCTTTTTC